CAACCATTTTCCACAATCATCTCGAATAACACCCCAGGCTGCTGCATTTCTTGGATTTCCAATGGAGGCCCCGTCAATGTTGAGTTTACACCATCCAGTCGGACGAGGTTTCCACCCAACTTGAGTTGTGATGCGGGCTGTTGTTGGACGAAATCGGCTGGGGATGATGGGGGAGCAATCCAAGCTGTGTACCAAAGTTTGATCCTGGTGTTGATGGAGTGAGCCAATGAGGGATGCTATGCTACATACATAATGAAAGTGTGTACTATATTTCATGATACTAAATATAACAATCAAAACAGGTTGGATGAGCCGGGTTATAAATTGGCAGCTCTAACTTAAATAACAAGTAAATTAAATAATCAAATCAAAGATTGAGCATTAGCCTTGACTGATGAGAGGACTAAAATTATAATTACTTATCAAACATAAAAAAACAAAATGAACTTTTTGAAATCTCATAAACATAAAAATCTCCATCAACTCCACCACCACCCCCAAATAGAAAAAGAAGTGAAGAGAAACAGAGAGGCACCCACACCCCTGCAGCACCTGTCTCTAATAATTTAGGTTTTGACATTGATGAAAATCATCATTATGTGTGTTGTTTTCTTGTTTAAAAATGTCAGATTCTCCCATAAACACCACCACTGGCAATGTTTCCCATTCATTCAATTCAATCTCTCACCTAAACAAAATCTGTCAATTCATTACTCACACAGACAACATTCATTAACTAATATATTAATTAATGACAGTATGACACCATTATGGCTGGTCGCTCTCTCTCTCTCTCTCTCTGCAAAAGTGTGAATTATCGCCATTAATATTGCCTTCGCATCCGTGTGGTGACAGGTGTAGATCAGTTTAAAAAAGCTCATCGTGGAGCATTAAACAATAAACAATACAATGGTGTGTGCATGAGAAGTCGGAAAAAACTAGGCAACAATGGAGGATTTAAGGATGGTGTGATATTCTGTTTCTGTTCCCTTATAAGTGGGGATTTGCCAAGTACGAGTACAATACCCAACTCACTGGGAAGTAGGATGACAAAATAACTAAGGTTTAAAAAGGCGTTAGACGTAAAGCGAGCGTTTGGTTTGTGATTTGCGCCTAGTCCGATTAAACATAGCCTAGGCGCGCCTAGACATTCTTAGCAGAAATGAAAAAAAGAAAAAACTTCAAATGTGACCTATTTTCTAGAATATTTCATATGACCACAAGTTCATCTAAAATGAAAAACACCTAATTCTTAACGGTTAATACTTAACATAACAAATGACAAGCAAGTAGTGATCATTTCTTGGAAGGAAAAGGACAAGCATGATAGATTGCTTGATAAGTAATTGTAAAGCATTTTACTAAATTAGTCATAGATGGCAGACAATGGTCGAGCGACGATCTACTCACAGCTGTTGTCGAGCGATCAAATTCTTTCTTAGCGGCGGCCGATCTAGCGATGAGCTCCTTCCCCAACTGACCAACATCAGCAAGCCAGAGTTGAAAAAAGAATGACTGAAGGCGTAGCACCTAGAGCTTGGAAGAAGGCGAGTATCGACCTAGAGCGGCCATTGGATGAAGACGGCAAAGGGTTTGATTTTGGCTGAGGTTTTCCAACTTTTTTGCGTGAGAATCGTTTTCTAGGAAGGGAGATGGAAAACAGGTCCGTTCAGCTCTAACTACTAACAAAAATTTAGCGGTCCAAGGCGGCCACTTAGTCGCTTTATGGGCCGATTAGGCGTCATTAATCCTAAATTAAGCGCGCCCAGCGCTTTATGCAACGCTTTTGCCAAAAGTGAAGCGCTCTTCCACCGCTTTGCGATTAATCAAGCCTAGGCGCGCTTTCTTGAACTCTGAAAATAACCATGACTCTGTATACCCAACCGAATCCGAATTAGGGGAAAATTCAGTCGATATTATTTTTGTGTGGTTTTTTCCCGAACCCGACAAGGAAGGTAATGGGTGTACCCCAAATTTAGTAATTTATGTACCCGTACCAAACTCACCTGAATATGTGTTGCATTTGTATTCTAGACGCACTCAATTTAACACTTTAGTCATTCATATCTCTAAAATACTGTAATATTACTTGGTTCTCAAATCTTCCTCATTTTTTTATCGCTTTTACAAACAACTAGCGTGGGCCCCGACCATTTGGCCGGAGGAAGGTGAGGTATGAAATTTGATAATGTAATGGGGTGTATAGCTTATTGTTGTATAGTTTTTTTTAGAAACACGTGATAAAAATAGTGAATTTTAGTAGGAAAGAGACATGAATGATGCAACGAATCAAAAATCAGCCTTATGAACCAAAATCAAGTACCTGTTACACTGTGAAACAATATTGTTTTTGGTAATATGATGAGGTGGAGTAAGTTTTATAGAACCCGAATTCCAAAAAATCGAATAAAAAATCACCTATCCCGCTGGTTTTTGGGAAATGAGCATCTCACAATCGTTGCTAGCTTTTACTCGGCCCGTTGGTCGATTAATTTGCTTTATAAAACTTTCATCTTGTCATCATTGTGCTTTCTGGTTTTTTGCCAAGGCTGAAGGCATGATAAAATCTAAAGAAATCAAGAATGAACAACACGATTTGGGATAAGAACCACCGTTCCTGTATCCCTAGAAAATGATGGTAAACACGGACTCACCTGCCAAACTGGTTTGGATTGATATTTTTATCGGGTATAAGGGAACCATGTGATTATAAATTAGACTTGATCAAAACGGGCCAAAACTTGAAATTCAGCTTGTTTGACCGACCCATGCCAAACTCTAATTATTCTTTACTTTTAAACTTTCTATTTGAAAATAAAAATAATGAAAGAAAAGAGATGACTGCAATTCACCATTTGCACATCACTGATTCGGGAATAAAACTATAGAATTTCGAAAGAAAACTGAAAATGTTTAGGATCGTTTTAATGTTAAAAATAACCAAATAGATCTTTCTGTTTAGTTTGTTACTAACAAATACCAAACGATTTCATATAATATACACTATAATTTAATCATTACGATATCAAATAATTACATAATATATATTTGAAATGATAAAAATTGGACTAATTGGGTTGGTCGAGGTTGAACCATTGAATAGCTTTAAAATACATTATATTTTAGCCACTAAGATATAAAATAATAGCATAATATATATTATGCTAGAGAAAATAGCTTGTTTTAGAAAAATAAAAGGACTTAAAGAAAAAAATTGACCCTGGACCGGTTTAAATTCGCATGTGTACGGTAAGTTGGGCAGTTACACAGATGAAAAAGAAAAAAATTGACACTCCCTATTCTACCCTTCCTACAAACGCTCCTGGAGCAGAAAATTTGAAATGGGGGAAGAGTTTGTTCCTCTTTTCTATTATATGTTTTTAATTTAAAAAGATACAACTAACGTACTTAGTGTGATTGGTTGTGATCTTTACTTTTTTTTAAAGTGGTCATGGTTCAAATCCTAGTAAGTATTTTTTTAATGAATAAAAAAAAGTAATTGTGAAGACTAAAATGTCCTTCCTACTTTTACTATGGATGAAGGAAATTTGAAATGGGCTTCAAGTTTTCTTATATGACTTTTATTTATTGTGTAGATGTAACAAGAAAACTTGAATTTGTATTTGCTACACATTGATGGTATACAACCTGTCATATTATGCATCGATCTTTCTTTTTTCAGCCCATACAGAATATAAATGCGATCGAAAATATTGATTGGGATTTGGGATATTCGTGAAGTCGGGTGTTATTCACGTTATTTCCTTAAGAGGGAAAAAGGGAAATGGGCTATCAATCTCCATATCTGGAGAAACTTGGCACAGACCGATGGAGGTGATGGGATACATACAATACAATTCAGATGCTGATCGTGAAACGACATCAGACGAGACGTGAAACGATTGACAGTGGAGATCCCACCACGACCGTCCAATCTTCTACTGTCACTCACTTGCCATAAACAATATTTTCCTTTTCACTCTCGCAGACACTACTGTGGAACTGGAATGCCTAACCAACAGTCTTTATAACCATCCAACTTCCAAGTATACGCTGTGTTTGGCAACAAGGATTGTGATTTATACTAATTTTTCATTTGAAGTCATTTGGTAATCAAAGATAGCAGGATACATCAATCTTTTTTAGTAGTGGCAAACTTAATCGAACTTTGTGATCGTCATCGACTTGACTATCCTTATATCGACCTAATAGACAATGTGATCGACATCATCAACGTTCTTATAAATAAGAAATCTCTATCAAACTAACAAATATTACTCATCCTTCTTTGTTTACTAGTTCTTTATTTTGTTCCCAACTCGCTAGGCTTCATTTCATGAGCAATCAATCGAGAAGAAAGTCTGAACTATGCCATTTGAGATTGATGAGAGCAGAACCTCCATATGTTCAAAGTTCTAAATTCTAACTAAGCGCTAAGCAAATCTAAATCTTTATCAACAATTTTCAAGATGACATTTTAGGTAATAATAACTGTTCATATTAATAAACATCAATGTCTGGGTGGTGTAGTTGGTTATCACGTTAGTCTCACACACTAAAGGTCCCCAGTTCGAACCTGGGCTTAGACATTAAAGTTTTTCCTTGTTTTCAAATTTTCTCCAGCCTTGTCTATGTCCCTGGTTTCTGGCACTTCCTTCTCATGTTTTAGCCATAGGTATTTCTTTTCGCTTCTTCAGGGTACCTGGTTTTTGGCTCGTCATTGGTATCCCCTAGTAATTCTATCTGTATTCTGTTTCCTTCTCATGTTTTAGCCTTAAGTATTGCTTTTCGCTTACTATGTTGAGTGCACGCGGCAGGCCCCTTTGATGTTACTGGGGCTTATTTGGTTGTGTTCTCTCCAACTGCAATACTGTATCTCAAGCGATATTGAATTTTTTGTTTCTGAATAACTCAAAGTGATATTGTATAACTTCGATTGAAGTGTCATGCGATATTGTATCTGACACTTCAATCGAAGTTGGGACATAAACTGCAAAAAAGAGAGGAAACTGCACTGAAAATGGACCACTCAAACCTTTCAACATCATTCATTCCAGAAAAAAAAAAAAAAAAGAGGTTTCCCATGAACAATGTACATCTGTCGGGCTACACAGATGGGGAAGCAACATCAACAAGCTAGGTGGTGGGAGCAAACCCAGATTAGCATTATGCCGCAACAAGAAAAGCGAATTCATCTGGGCAGGGGAAACTCAACATTTAATTTGGCCGCAGAGGAGCAAATATATGAACACAAGGGTAAGGCTTTCAGTTTCAACTAAACACCCTTTTCTGGAGGAGATCGCCCACAGAGTGCATCTTCCAATTGACCAGAGTTCCACTTGATGACACCGGCTCAAGAACTCCGGACAAAATTTGATTCATTTCAATGCTACTACCATGGTTGCTTGCATTCGATGAAAGAGCAAACGTCCAAGCTGAATCTCTTGAGCCTCCACCAGTTTACATAAACTGTACAAAACACGACAACTTCGGGAGCTCATTGGTCCCAGATTGGTCGTCTCTTATCATAGGCGGGATAGTGAAGAGGTCAAACTTGTGAAAGCCTCTCTCTCAGCTTGTCTTGTCAAAAACCTTCTGTGAGTATATGAACTCGGCCAGCCAAAGGTGCCTCAAGTTTTGACATGGCTCCTTGTATTTCCTGGTGAATGAATTCAAAACTATCAGTTTCATTATCCAACACACATCTGCATATTATGTCCCAAAACTAGAACTTCAAACTTACCTCTACTGTGTAACGAGCTGAAAAATGGATCATAAGGATTGCCTTGTTCTGAAATTTGTCTGCATGCTTAATAATCTGAACAGAACAAGATTCATAAGTAGTAAAATTCCAATGGCGTTATATTACAGAAGAAGCAAAGAATACCTCGTACAGATGGGTGTGACCATATTCTCGGGCATGCTCCACTGTTACCCTGTCCTCAACAAAAGTGCACTGTTGTGTAAATGTATGGATTGTTATTGTCAGCCCTTCTGCCAGTACTATGAACAAGATTCATGTGAATACTTCAAGGGAAAAGTTTTCCTGATACATTAGAATAGACTGTTCATCGGTAATCATATATTACTCTTACTTCAGAATGTTTCCATGATAACCAACTATTTTAACTAACTCGCAAAATATGATCCCTTTCCATGCTCCCGAGATGACAACCAACTACTGTATGAAAAATCAGGATAATGAGAGCTAGCTAGCAGCTTACCTCCATAACAAGAACTTTTGCCTTCAGAACGTCACTGTTACTTTCGTCCAGTAAGAAGTCAGACATTGTATCACCAGTAAAAGCAATTTCGGGGTGACTTATGGTATCTGTTATCTGAAAATAAACGGGCCCAATCTTGAGTATGAGGAACATGCCAATTCGAATTAGATTTAGAAAATAAAGAAATGGGATTCTAAGTTTGCCAAAGGAATGTTTAGGAGTTCAGCACACGTTGATGAGATTGATCAGGTAAGTCAGACTCGAAAATATGGGGTTTGCAAATATCTTCTGGAATGTCTGTTTTTAGCTATCGCACCTCGACATTATGACCATCATCAAAAAGAGGTAGATGATAGTTTATGCTTGAGAGTTGAGACCAGAAGATTATTCCCATACTTACAGGTTACAAGTATTCCAAGATTTTCAAAGTCCCACACATATTTCGTGAATCAAAGTTACTTTTCATTCTTAGGCGTACCTTCACACCTGATAATTTCAAGTTTTTCATTTCTCTGATGGATAGCCCATGATACTCTTGCTTAAGTTTTTCTTTCACTTGGTAAACAACATAACCCTGAAAAGCAAGCAAATTGCTAACCAATCAACTGAGACAGAAAAAAATCTTCACTCACAATCAAATGATTTCGATGATACCTGGCTCTTTATTGTATGGTGTGTCTTAAATGCTTTTACTTTAAGGTCCCTTCTAATGGAAATCTCTTCCCCTGCAAGTAACAGTTGTCAAGACGTTATTCAGGAGGAAGTTTCAGAACACAGCAATTCGGTGATGATCCATTACCTATATCCAAACCAATAAGAACATGCCGCAGCTCTGATCCATCTAACTGCCGATGCACCTCAAAAAGTTGTTCAACGGTTGGCTTGATGCTCGTTGGCACAATGATCGTTGGAGGCTTCATGCGGTTTAAGCCACGGGTGGCAACATACATGGGCAACCCTCCCTGAACATAAGAAAGAAAACCCATGTCTCAAAAGTAGACAGCACGCAAGCCAATTGTTCACTAGGCACAATCTGTAACAAATTCAGCATCCAAGTTCACCACCATTGATGTTCAGTACAACAATGTGAAAGCACAAAGAAAATTTGTGGGTAAGGAGAAGGAAATTCGGAACTGACTATGTGATCCATGTGAGCATGGGAGATGAAGACGAAGTTCTGAGAAACTGCTCGTTGCGGGCACCGACCAATATCGAAAGCCAAATCAAGTGAAGGGAAGATTATGCAGGTTTCGAGGCCAGCAATCGACAATCCCTCAACAGGGTACCCTTCAATGGTCATCAATGGCTTCTTCTTTCCTTTCTTGTCGACGTTGTTGGGCAGCGAAACCGCGAGTTTCTGCGGCTTCTCTTGCGATGAACTGGAGCTGAATTTGATTTCTTCTTCCATAGCAATGGCTTCTAGTTTCTCCTCGCGGAACGAACGGCGGTAGGCGGTTGGGATGGAGCGGCGCTGAAACTGGCGACGGAGACGTACGTCGAGTCGGCCGTTCCGGCGTTCTAATTTCTATCAGTCTCAGGCCGCGTTTGGACCTCAATTGGGCCTCCAGTTGGCCCAAACTATTTAGACGAAGGCCTGATTTCTGACTATTAGTCTCAGCTGCGTTTGGACCTCAATTGGGCCTCTCCTTTCCTTAACCAATCAGCTTGAGACCGAGAAATGAGAAGACACGCAGAACACTGTTAGGTAGCTCAGCTCTCGGCGACGGAGTAACGGCGGAGAGGCGTCGCACAGACGGTGTGTAGGAGAGACGACGGAGGTTTGCATTTCAGAGCTTCAGGTTTTCCTTCTCTTCCATTTCCATTGCCTACAGTATCAATGCAGCCTCATGAACATACTTTTATTCTGTAGTGGGTAGGGCTGTGCGAGGCGAGAATCTAGAGGGGTTCTTGCTTTCCTCGTTAGGTTTTCTTCGTACTTAAAGCTCTGATGGGAATGGAATTTTGTCTGTTCACTCTGTTTACTTTAGTTCTCTTGTAGTGTGATCAGTGATGTTATCCCAGCTCTAGGGCTTGCCATGATCCATTTTGCCCCCTGGCGTGTGAAAATGGTTCTGTTGCGTTCCAAATTTGGGTTTTCTGAGAGCTGCATTCAGAAAGCAATGTTTCAGCAAGTTTGGTTTTTTCAGTTGCCTTTGTGTGCTCTTCTTGTTAGTCGGTTTGATGCTGGGTATTATTAGCAAGAATGAATTGAGAACTAAAAGTCTATTATCCCTCAATTCTTTCTGTGGAAACTCTGCCTCAGTTTTTAGCTGATTAATGTGCATGAAATATACTCCTATGGTTTTGAATTTAGGTCAGTTCCTCACAGTCCGGTGCTTACAAATTGAGTTCCCCTCGGATTTGGAATCATGCTTCTTCTGTTGCATGCTTCTAGGAGATATGATCTTATACTTCTGTCTCTATTGTATGGCTTTAATGGACAATGGTTGTTGGTTTTTATCTGCAACAGGTTGAGAAATATGTATCTCAAGGTGAAGTTGCCATGGAATGTTATCATAGCTCCAGAAAACCTTGATATCAAGGGACTTCTGCTTCAGAGGGCTATCCTTTTAAAGGTTCTGGAAGAGTTTGCTAGCCGGCGAGCCCACAAGGACCTCGGCTACCACATTGCAGTGACTACCCTGGAGAGCATAGGGGACGGAAAAGTGAGGCAACACACAGGGGAGGTGATGTTCCCTGTTGTGTTCAGTGCCATCACCTTCAACATCTTCCGGGGAGAGGTGCTGGAAGGCCAGGTCCACAAGGTTTTCAAGCATGGCGTCTTCTTGCGATGTGGGCCGATGGAGCACATCTACCTTTCGTGCACCAAAATGCCGGGCTACCGGTATGTGCCTGGAGAAAACCCGGAGTTCATCAACGAGAAGAGTCCCCCGGTCGGGAAAGATGATCTGGTGAGGTTCATGGTGATGGGGACCAAGTGGCTGGAGGCCGACAGGGAGTTTCAGGCGTTGGCTAGCTTGGAGGGCGATTTTCTAGGTCCCTTGCCAAGGCCAGAAATCTAGAAGCTGAATGTCTCTGTCAGATGTGGATGTCTGTTTATCTAATGTTTCAGCATGTCTCTGTGAACAATCTTTTTTACTGTAATATGTGAGTGAGTAGTTAAAACATGAATCTCCATGCATCTAGATATCTGTTCTAGCTATTGTTTGCTAGGTAGGGATTAACAGTTGGTTGGAAAAGATTTGTATTTACTTTCTAGTTATATGATGTTTATATAACACTTCCTTCTTTATCCGTATATACGTTTGAATCATCTGCTAAAAAAAACCTTCAGTTAGTAAATATGTTGGATGACCCCTTCTTTGTTCTGATTTTTACTCCACTTTGTTCTATGCTTGGGATTGCCATACTCGGTTGCTTGCAGCAGGGTCTGTGAATCAGTGAATATTAGTGACCACAAGATTGGATGTTTGATTTAATGAAGAATGGATGTTTGTTGGAATTTGGGTTGGATGCCTTGTAGAGTGGAGCTGAAGACCGTGCGATTATGGTTGGAAAGGAAATCTTCATCAGCACGCCAATCCTCAATTTCATCAGCCTGCTGTCTCCCTGAGGGACCATGGAAGAAGTGCTTTTACTTGCCTGAGAAGATTTTTTTTCTTCCTCGATGGGTGGGACGATCCAGGTGTGGGATTGGAGTAACCAGGAGTGCAGTCAAACACTCAAGGCACAAGATGAAGCCGTAACTTGCTGGGATGCGTTTGTGGTGTCTTGCTCTCTGGATAAGAAAGAAGGTTCAAGTTCTGGGGCTGCACTGAAGTTGAGAGAGGCTTGTGCACGAAGGAAGTGCTGCGCTTGCTGTTGGTGGGATGAATGATTCAGAATCAGAAGGAAAGCCGATCTTGTTCTGTCTATGTTGCAACTGTACTGTTGGGTTATACGACCTGCGATCGATCTGTCAAAGAGTGGGCAAGATTTACATTCACATGCAGAAAGAACTGGGAGTGATTTGCACAGAGGATGAAAAGTGGTGTGGTCAGTGTTTGGAAGTTGCAGTGCAGTCATTGCTGCTGCTGCTTGCTTCGTTTTTAAGATTTTTCTCAAGTGTACAGAGAGAGTTATTTAGCTGCAATTAGAACATTTGCTTGTTAAGCGATGAACGTGAGATTCCAATTTATCGTTGAAATTCTCTCTCAAGACAGGTTATCCATGTAGCAGTGTGGCTGCGCAGAAGCAACACCCAGGTGCTTTTGCTGCTGTCACCACCACCACCACCACCACCATGTCAGCATTCACCGACCTATAACACACACACACACACAAACCAACTTCATGATGACTTTTAATTACCAGGGAGAAGAGGCATCAATCAAGCATTATAAATTGACTTCAGCCTCACTTCTGGAGTGTAGCGCTATCAGAGGGGTTGTGAAATTGGCAGTCCTTTAGGGGTTGTCACCAGATGTAATCCCAAAATATGAACAATTCCATTTCAAATTGATGACCTTCTAACTATGGAGTAAGACAATTGCCTCTATTTAACATTTTCCTAAAGTCAGGATGTAGATAATGATGCTGTTTTCACATTAACACAAAATAATGCCGATCATGATGTTGGTTTAAGAACATAACAAAAAATATGTCGACAATGATAAAATTCTATCATTAAAGAAACTTATGCTTATCATGATAAAGTGTAACAAGAAAGATGTAATGATGAGATCTTAACATTAGAACGAAGAAGGATAATTGTAACAAGGTCTTACAATGTGACTATATTTATTTGAAAACTACAGTTCAAGTTATGAATGTCTGGGTGGTGTAGTTGGTTATCACGTTAGTCTCACACACTAAAGGTCCCCAGTTCGAACCTGGGCTTAGACAATTCTTTTTAATTTTTACATAGTTTGAACCTGGGCTTAGACAATTCTTTTTAATTTTTACTTCTCCAATGTATACTTCAGATGAGATTAGGAAATAAGCTGGAGAAAATTATTTTTAATTTTTACATAGTTCGAACCTGGACTTAGACAATTCTTTTTAATTTTTACTTCTCCAATGTATACTTCAGATGAGATTAGGAAATAAGCTGGAGAAAATTAGAGGAAGGTGCATTGAAAACTAACCGCTGATCTATCAAGCTTGATAAATTGACAGAGTTCGTTAATGAGAAGAGCCACATGGCTGAGAAAGATGATAAGGTAAGGAGGTGGTGATTTTCTGGCTAGATCCCTTTGTTGTAGTATGTCTTTTTGTGACGGGTTGCATTACAAGTGGATAGATCTTCACATTATCTGAGAAAGATGATAAGGTAAGGAGGGGGTGATTTTCTGGCTAGATCCCTTTGTTGTAGTATGTCTTTTGTGACGGGCTACATTACAGGTGGATAGATCTTCACTATAATGTTTGTTGGATGGATGACTCGCACGCCATAAACATTATGTTGGGTTGGAGTTGGAACATTTTGTTATATTTTTCAAGTTGATTTTAATTTTAATAAGTTCTTTTGATTTTTTGTTAGAAATTTGGAGTTTAAAAGATCGGCCCTGATTGATGCTTAAATTAAATGAGATCGAGCTATATATATAATGTCATAAATCAAATGATCTCCATAACTCGAGATGTTGGGAGAATTCCATATATACGTATCTCAACAACTTTCTTACAGGTCCGCTTTAGCAAAAGTCAACTCATGGGGTTGAAGTTTGCACAAACCCGTCATATTCCAAGTGCTTTAGGGCAACGCATAATATTAGACTTCATGAATAATATACCGGCTTTAATACTATACCATAAACCAACTAATCTCAGTAACTCGAGTTGTTAGAAAAAACCCATGAATCTGAACTACTTTCTTACACATAATACCATAAATCTACATCTACATAATAAATAAAAGCCAAATGAGAAAACTTGAAGTCCATTTCAAATTTCCTGCATCTAGAGTGAAAGTAGGAAGGATAGATTCGTCTGCACAATCACTTATTATTTTCTTATTTATAGAAAAAATACATCAGTAATGAAATTTGAACTGTGGTCTCTTCAAACAAAGATAAGAAACATAACCAGTTACAATAAACACATTTGTGTGATCTTTTTCAATTAAAAACATACAAGAAGCTTAAATCTGAAAAATATAGGACTTTTCCACCAAGGTTGGCAACCGAAATGTCATTGATTCAAACATTGCATATCGAATTGCACTCTTGAATTTGTAGAAGCGATGTAGAATTCTTAACATAGACTTAATTGTTATAACTATCATAAAGTAGGAATATTTTTAAACACAGAACTTTTGAGTGAATATGGGGCACATGTGTCTTTAAGAGAGGGGTAAATATGGAAATGTTGAGTGATGTTGGTTTGCCGAACGTGGATGGAAAAAACACTATTAATGTAAATGGACCCAAATAGTGTCCCGACCCACTAAACGCTCAACCATCGTCGTCTCTCCAAACTTCTCATCAGACTCAACAACCGGCTAACCTCCTCTACCTCTATTATTAAGCCAAAGCAATTTTTGGAGGGATAAATAAGGAAAGATTGAGTGTTGTTGGTTTTCCCAACGCAAATGGAAGAGGTGCTACTAATGTAAACGGGCCCAAATAGTGTCCGACTAGCTAAACACTCAACCACCGGGTTACTTTAACTACACCTAATATAATAGTGAAATGGGAAAGGTGCTTCCCCCATTACAAAATCCTTGCATCCATAGCAAAAGTAGAAATGGTAGATTCGTCTTCATAGTCATTTATTATTTTCTTATTTATAGAAAAATACATAAGTGATGGGATTTGAATTGTGATCTCTTTGAGAAAAGACAAGAAACATAATAAGTTACACTAAACAAATTTGTTTAAAAATTTTAAATTAAAAATATACAGGAAGCTTAAATCTGAAAAATCATTGGAATTTTCCATCACAGTTAGCTAAGCCACTAACTCTCCCCTAAATATTTTTTTTGGTATTTGATACTTCTATTTTCAGACTTTGATTATTTTAATTCGAGTTTAATAATTAATTCTATTTCTATTTATTTTATAAAAGGAGAATAATTTTATAATTGCAAGCCTAATGTTATTGGTGCAAATATTGCATATCGAATTGCAGTATTGAATGTGTAGAAGCGATGCATAATTCTTGACATAGCTTAAATAATATAAGTACCATAAATCAACAATATTTTTGAACATAGAAGTTTTGAGTGAATATGTGACACATGTGTTTTTAAGAGAGGGGTAAATATGGAAAGGTTGAGTGATGTTAATTTGTCGAATGCGGATTGAAAAGCCGCAACTAATGTAAATAGGTCTAAATGTTGTCCCGACCTACGTACTAAACGCTCAACCATTGCTGTCTCTCCAAACCTTCCCACCGGACTCGACAACCGCCTAACCTCCTCCGCCTATATTGTTACGCAAAGCAATTTTCGGATGGGTAAATATGGAAAGATTGAGTGTTCTTGCTTGGAGAGCTGACTGGTGGGTTATTTAGTTTCTTTGACAGTAATGTGTAATCTCCAATGTTGTCAGAACCGAACTGGAGTATGACCCGGGAACGTGAACGGCTCGGTCTTTAGTGGTCCAGCCGGCATTAGACCGTTTAAAAACCGTTTGAGAACCGGTACCTAATAAACAGTCATCTGTATAAATAGTGGACACTTCTTAATCATGGTAAATCACAAGTAAATTACTCTCTTAAACAATTCTAGAACATCAGTACCGAAAGATCTAAATTTCAATTCCAAACCACTACACTGTTCCAAAATAAAAGCAATATCACGCGAGTCTGAACATGAAACAATAGTCTTAAACATGGAAACCACTCAAAGTCTCAAACTCAAACAATTACCAAATAAAACTTCAACATCATTTCATTCACCATCACTAGACTTCAACATCATTCATTCACCATCAGCATCGGATGAATCACTGCTTGAAGACGCCATGTCAATTGCTGTGCTACCATCATCTCCATCATAATCTAATAAGTAAAAAAAAAAATGTAAGAAATCATGTGTTAAAAATATATCAAAGTTGAACATTCTTCATTTACTAATATG